ACTTCTTTCTAGAAAAGATGGCAGGTCGGACTGTGGCTTAGTCCAGGCTTCGTGCCCTCGGGCATAGTGGGAGCATTCCCCTCCCTGCCCCCTACGTACAGATACCTAACCCTTGTGATTGACAGGGGGCATCCCAGGAGGTCTGCTCTGCAGGGTTGCACACCTGGGCACTGACAGCAGGAGGAAGGGTCTGTCCAGGGCAGAATCTGCCCTAGGACCTCAGGGAACAGGGGTGGGAGAGGAATGCCAGGAAGGCCGCCCCCTGGTGCAGACCCCATGGCAGCATCATTACAGGGTCACAGTGGCCTTGCCTGAGGGGCCCATCCTCCACCCCCTACAGGGAAACTGAGGCCCAAAGCCAGGGATGTTCCTATTGGCTCCATTTCTGCTCCAAGATCCACACTTCCATTCTGGCAGCATCTGTACCCCCATAACACAACAGTGGTGGGGCCCCTCTCCCTGCTGCCCACGCAGCCTCCACACAGCTGATGGGCGGAACCCTGCAAACCATCCCCACCCCAAAAGTCTGCCTCACTCTCATTGGACATGGAGGCTGCTCCCAGAACCCAAACGGTCCCCATGAGCTTGGCATGGCAAGAGCGTTAGGGCAGACCAGTCAAAGGCCTCTGTTCTTTAGCTCTGTGGGTCCGTGAAACCTGAGGTGGAGCGAGGACAGCCCAGGTCTAACTGGGGAATAAGGTGAGGGGCTAAGGAGTAAGAGGTGGAAACAAGACATGGGAGCCCATCACACCAGTGGGACATTACACACACGCCCCCTCCAACTGGGCAGAGGGGCAGCAGGCCTGGGAGCGGCCACCCCAGGCAGAATGCCGCTCCACTACTTACTTACCCTGTGACCTTACATGGTAGTTACAACATCAATATTGGGCAGGAACTTGGTGTCCAGATAAGCACTTACTGTGCATTATTTCATTCAGCCCGTGTTTGGTAGAACTCACCTAACTTTACGGACGAGGAAACTGAGGCTCAAGGAATTGAAGGGACTTGCTTGGGATCATTCCTAAGTGGAGCAGCCAAGACCAAAGTCTGGTCAACCCACTGAGTCTGTGTGTGACCGTGGTGCTGGTCGCCCCTGCCCGCCCCCCCTCAGTTCCCGACTGTGGGGAGGAGGAGTTGCCACACAGGCTGTGGAGAGGTCAGAGATCATGCGAGTGACAGCATCGGGCAGAGCAGAGCCAGCACACAGGAGCTGAACCCAGGAATGTTCCTGTCCTCATCTCTACTCCTTAGCCCATCAGTGCGGTTGTGGAATGGGGAGGGCTGCAGGGACCACACACCCACAAGGCCCCTGGCGTGACTGGGATACTGGCCCTGAGGGGGCATTACTCTGCCAGAGGTCCCCGCAGCATCCTCACCCAGACCAGTCCTGATGGGCAGCCCCCCTTTTCCACCTGCGGCTACCTCTGGGTCTACCCAGAGAGACAGCCACCCCCTCCCCCCATATCAGGACAGCCTGCTTCTTATACCCCAGCTTGCAATTCAGCTCCGGGAAGTATCGAGGGCAGGACAAGGCATGGGCACAGGGCACAGGCACAGATATGGGGTACCTTGATGAACACTGGAGGGAGGAAGTGTGCTCACAAGGGCACATGCACCCCCAGGCCCCAGCATCCCTGTTCTTACCCCCATTGGATGGCATGTCTAACCCACCCTTTGCTCCCTGGCTGAGATGCCAGTCCTGCCCTCAGCCTGGAGGCATGGAGAGCAGGCCACAGTGAGTGTGGAGGGAAACCTAACCCACGCGTGCAGGGTGTGGCCAGGGAGGGCTGGCAGGTTGGGAAGGTTGAGCAGGGGGAGTAGATGTCTGCTAAGTGGAGAGAGGAAGGAAAGGGTCCAGGGAAGGGAACAGCTCAGCCAGGCCTGGGTGTGCTGTTCAGAGCAGTTCAGTAGATCCTGTGGCTACAGCACGGCACCTGGTGCATGCAGGTGAGAGGGGTGTCAGACGACTGTGAACAAGCCACAGACCCAGGGCTTTGGAAAAAATGTATGAATTAAATTGTCAGTGAGTTGGAAGGGAAGGTGTCTGAGAAAGAGCTCAGCCTTGGTCTGGGAGCAACCGTGCTGGGACAGAGGGCTGGCCAGGCAGGCTTACAGACCCTGGAGGGGAGGAGATGACATACCAATCTTCAGAGTCAGGTGCACTCCCCACCCCACCCCCCTACAAACTCGGAGAAATCACACAGCACATGAGAAGTTATTGCCCTTCGGCCCCCACTCTCTGGCCTCTGATCTCTGGCTTCAGATGCCTGCCCTCCCGACTCGGGCCAGAGAGGAATAAAGGGATGAGCTGAGGCCCCCACCTCACATTGGGATGAACTTGGCACAAGGCCATTGTGGGAGAGCAAGGGGGCAGCTTGTGGCCTGTTTACTCCCCCAAAAAGCATTTCCTTATGGTTTTGATACATGGAAAAGGCACATCTGGAAGTAGGAAGCGGAACAGCCTCTAAAACCCAGCTGTGGGCGGCTTGCCTTGGACCAGCCCCCAGGGAGCTCGACCCGCATGTGTGGCCGGGTTTCGAGGGCGAGGTGTGAAGGGAGCTCGCCCAGGCTGGCCGTTGTCTCTGGGTCCTGTCCTCACCTCCGGGACACTTCTGGCCTGGCTTCCGCCCCACCCCGCCACCTCTGCCTCGGGTCCAGCCCCCGCGACCGTTATCTATGACGCCACACCTGCCTCTCCCCCCAGTCCCCCATCCCCCGTCCCCTCTCCCAGCCCCGGTCACCAATTGCCAGTGTGTGTGTGTGGGGGGGGGGGGGGGGCGGTCTTCCTCAAGTGTATGTCTGACCTGTGTCCTCCCTTCTCAAGGCGCTTTCGTGGTCCCTGTCCCCAGGGTGGAGTCCTGCTGTCGGAGCCCCCACTCTCTGGCCTCTGATCTCCTGTAGGGCCCTCACCCACTAGCGCCCACCCCACACTCTCACATGTACCCTACACCCAGCCACAGAGGGGCCGCCACTGCATGCCCCGTGGCCTGCCTCCCCTCGGCCTTCCTCCCCTCGGCCTTCCTCCCTTCGGCCTTCCTCCCCTCGGCCTTCCTCTTGGTCACCTCCTCTTCCGTGGTGTCCTGGGCATTGCTCAGGGCTCAGCCGGGATTGAATGGAGCGAATGCACAGTGTTGGCGTGACTACGGCGTGTCTCGCCCAGCACATACCGCCCCCCACTCTGTGCCGCCTCTCGATCCCCAGGCGGTGGGAGCCGCTCTGTGCTGCTGCCGCCTCCGCCTCTGGGACAGCTGTGGCCACTGTGTGCTGCTCTGAGGGTGTACGTGCCTCCCCGGGCTCTGCCCTCCTGGGGAGGGGACCCAGGTCTGGGCTCTCTCTGCCTCCACCTCCCCCAGCCTGTGTGGGAAGTGACCAGGGTGCTGTACTGCGTAGATGGGGGCACGGACCTCTCAGGGCTGAGAAATGGGCTTTAAAGCTGGGAGATGGGGGCAGAAAGGAGCCCAGTGGCCAGCTCAGAAAAGGGGGAAGCCACGTCTTCCGAGCGTGGACACAGCCAGAGAAGCCCGAGTGGACCTTTGTGGGAGCACTGGCCCCGGGGACACGGCTGCCCGGCCCAGAGGTGTGGGGTACGGGGGTCCTGATCTGGCAGGCAGCCCAGCCCTGCCTAGGGAGGGAAACCCACGGCTCCAGAGAGGGAACTGGCCTCCTCTGGTCGTCTCCTCCCCGAGGCTCCCTCCCCCTGCCCTGCCCTTCCCTGGGAAGGAAGCTGCTAGCAGAGCCCCTGGGCGTTGGCATCCGAGGGGTCTGTGTCCTCTTGGCCTTGTCCCAGCCCTGTGGCCAGCACAGGAGGCCTCGTCCCTGAGTGGGGTGCTGAGACCCCACACTTCATGGTTGTCAAACACCCAGCACCAAGCCGAGCAGGTGCGGGTCGGTGTTGGGGTGTTGCTCTCCCCTCTCCCCTCACTCTCAGCAGCTCTGGGGACACGGCAGGCGGTGGGGAAAGCAGGAGGGAGGGAGCAGGAACCGGTAGACCGCCTCCGCCAGGTGCATTCAGCTCCTCTGAAGGCTCGGGGCATTGATGGATTGTTACCAGAGAGAGGACAGTCCTTGCTGAGGGACTTGCACAAACAAAGGCTTGAAATTGCCTGGTGGGTCCTGTTCTTTCCCGTGTGTGGGTGGGAGCCAGGAGGGGCAGGGAGGGGATGTGAATGCCAGGCCCAAAGGGCTTTAAGCAGAACGCACGGCAAGGTGGAGAGGAGGGAGGGGTGGTTAGGAGTTAGGGGGTTCCAGGGAGAGTTGGGCCTGGGCAGCGGCTGTGGACCAGGGCAGCCTGGGGCCACAGGGGTGCTGTGCTTGTTGCTCTCAGTCCACCCCACCCCCTTTCTGACCAGCGCCTCGGGTGTCGGTGCTGCACCCACTGCACGCCCACTGCCCAGCATGGGGCCTGGTATGTGGGGGGCATTGGATGGCTAAACGGCCAGACGATTAATCAAGGACACTGAGTGTGCAATGTGGCTGTTCTGACAGCGGTCAGTGCCGGTGCTGCGCTCCGGTGGACAGAGCCCCTGACAGCCAGGGCCCTGCCCCTGGGCTCTCGAATCGCCCTGAGTGGTGGCCACAGTCTCACGTTTGCAGACAAGGAAACGAGGCACAGGGAGGCCCAGGGCTGTCAGACCGGGGGCCGTATGCACTCCAAGGTGCCCCTGCCATTCGGCCGTCCGGGCTGGCCTGTGGCGGCAGCCATCGTTCCCAGGTGCCACTGGGGCGGGGATCCTTCCGGACCCACAGACGGAAAGACCACTGTCTTCTGCAGCCCAGAGGCCATGTCTAAGTCAAGGTGCTCTTTCTCTGGACCTACCAGGGCTTCCCAGATAGAGTCTGGGCCCTGAGCACGTCACGGGGAGCTAACCGGGGGCCTGGAGACCTCGGGCAGGACGGATGGGGTATGAGGAGTGGGGAGGCAGAGGATGCTGGGGGCATGTCCAGGTTGGGTGGGGGGCCCTCCGGGGCTGCAGAGCGCCCCTCACCAGCCTCTCCCACAGTTTGAAGGCTGCAGCAAGGCCTTCTCGCGGCTGGAGAACCTCAAGATCCACCTGCGGAGCCACACGGGCGAGAAGCCATACCTGTGCCAGCACCCGGGCTGTCAGAAGGCCTTCAGCAACTCCAGTGACCGCGCCAAGCACCAGCGCACCCACCTCGACACGGTAGGCCCGAGGGAGGCGGAAAGGGAAAGTGGGGGGATGTGCACACTCCCACACTTGTCTAATGCAGGCGGGAGCCGGGGCCTGCAGAAACCCCACTTTCATCCTGGAACCCGACTGACATTTCAGGCAAGAGGACTCTTTGGGGAGAGAGGGAATCCTGTCATTAGAGGGTGCACTGGGTCCCTGGCCTCTGTCCACCAGTGACCTCCCATCTCCCACTGTGACAACCCGAGGTCTCTCTGGACAGTGCCAAGTGTCCCGGGGAGGAGAGAGTAATACAGTCTCCCTCGGGTGAGAACCACTGTGGGTTCTGCCGGGGCACCCGCGTCCTTGCACATCCTGAGGGAGAGGTGGGCTTGCCATCCCACATCCTGTCGCCAGGCCTGAGTGATCAGCCACCCCCAGAGCAGGCCCTCCCTGCTCTTCCCACCCCACTCCCTCTGTGGAGACAGGCTGTTCCTCACCCCTGAGCCTAGTGGGTGAGGAGTTGGGGTGAGCAGGGCCCAAGACTCCGGCCCCTGAAATAGTGACCTGGCCGAGGTGCCTGTCCGTCACCTCCTTTCCCTTGTTTGTGCCAGACAGTGAGGTGACCTGCAGCTTCTCACAGGGCCGTCCGAGGGTGTGCTCTGCGCGCACAGCGCTCAGAGCGCGCACAGCCCTAAGGCCTCCCGTGATCGCACTGAAGGCCACTCAGGGGTCTCTACCCCGTTTCCCAGGTGAGGGAAGCGGGGCTCTGGGAGCTGCAGTGCCTGCTCAGCTGGAACGCGGCAGAGCTAACTCGGGGTGGGCCTCATATAGTCTCACAGGGCCTGGGAGGACCCCAGCCCTGCAGGCCGCAGAAGGCGGGTCTGCAGCCAGAGTCCACGTCAGGGCCCCCTGCCTGTGTCCCTGCTCTTCGTGCACATGTTTGGGGAACTCTTCAGGTGGGGGGCCAGGAGACCTGAGTGGCCGTCCACCTCAGCCTGTCCAGGGCACAGGCATGCAGATGAGGAAACAGAGGTCCAAGGGCAGCCGGCCCCTCCAGGGTAAGCTGGAGGCCATGAAACGGCAGGGTCAGAGTGGGGGCGGGGGGGCGGGTCGGGGGCCTTTTGGTCCAAGCCCTTTCTTCTATTGCTGGGAAAACCAGGACCCAAAAAAGATGAGGGGTGGCAGAAAATAGCAGGGTCATGTTTGGGTCCAGGTGAGCCCAGGCAGCGTGTCCTACACATCTCCCCTCAGCCCCCATATCACACAAACCTTCCCCCACAAGGTGGGTGGGCTCCATTATCCCCATTTTGCAAAGAAACAGAGACTCAGGGAGATGAAGGCATTGACCGCCGCTCAGCGGCTAAGTGGCAGAGCTGGGTGCAGCCCGGGCCTCTCTTACTCCAAGCCCAGGGCCCTTGTTGGGGAAGCAGGGGTGCCTTGTGGAGCTGAGCAGACAGGACAAGGGTAGGAAGAGCCCTGTCCTCAACCTGAACCCGACCCCCACCACCTCCCTCTCAGGCTGCACTGACACAGGCTGTGTTGGGGGCATGCAGGGAGGAGGGGTGCTAGCAACCACCCTGCTATCATTACCTTCTTGTATACCTAGCCCTTGCCCTTGAGGCCCAGCCCAGACCCCTGGTTACATCTCCCAGAGGCCACAGGCAGTCCCAGTAGCACCAGGCCTCTACACCCCTTCTCCCAGGCCTGGCAGTCCCTCCAGGCCTCTGGGGTCACCCACCCTGACTTATCCCCTTCCTCCCTCCCTCTGCACTGCATTTCCTGGACTCAGCCCCAAAGCAACAGGCCTCTGGCCCACACTAGGCGTATGAACAGCTCGGGGCTAGGTCGGGTCAGGCCACAAAGGAGCCGTTATCTCAGCCTTCATTGCCCCAGAGGGTCCTGGGGAAGCCCTGGAGGTACAGCCGCCAACCTGCCCCTGCCTGCGCCCATCCCCACGGCAACATCGCGAGCAGCTCCACGGGGCGAGGCTGCTTCCCCAGCACCCAGAGGGTGAGCCCCGTGGAGTCTGGGTCTTCTCTCCAGAGGAAACCCGGTCCTGTCCCCACCTCCCCTCTGGCACCAGAGAGCATGGATTCTCTCCGTGGGCAGGAAAGTGGTGGGACAGCCTGGAGAGGACCAACCTGCGTCCTAACCCTGGCCCTCCACCTGCCCCCAGGCGTCCAAGGAATGCCGCCTCTCCTCTCTGGGCTGTGTCCTCAAACACCAGCCTTGCCAGAGAGAGATGGGAGTCGACGGTAGTGACGGGCAGTGTTTAGCCTGATGCACCGTCCGCACTGCAAATATGAGTCCCTCCTTTCCTGCCCTATGACGCCCTGACAGAATGCGGGCCAAACCCGGCTGTGTCCCAGGGGCCCAGAGAAGGTTCAGTTCTTGACTGCACAGACTCCCTAAATAAGCCACTGTCCTACTCTGGCCTCAGTTTCTCCATCAGCGAGATGGGGCTGATCATCTCCTTTGCCCACTTCTCTGGACCGTTCAGGGCGGCGGATCGAGAGGCAGCAAAGCCTCAGCCTCGGTTTCCTCATCTGCAAAGTGGAGAGGCTTCTCCAGGGTGGGTGTGAGCCTGGGCGAGCAGGAACAGCAGGTGCTCACACGGCCTGCAGGGAGGGGCGCTCGCACCAGAGCACTGTGGAGCTCAGACAGAGGCCTGTGAGCTGCGGGGCTCCTCCTCACAGCTGGACCCCGAGAGCCCGCATGAGGACCCAGGCTTTGGGCCTCGGCAGGGGCTCCAGGCCTGGGACTTGGCTGCTGCAGGGGCACGCGCAGGGTTTCCTGAGGGCGCCTGGGGGAGCTGGGCCGGAGGAATGTTCTGCACACGTCAGGCCCTGGAAAAACAAACGCAGAGATGGGCCTGGTGCCCTTTCCGGCAAGTGTGCTGCACGCGGAGCTCTGTTTGTTTGCTTTTTGACAAAAGCGTGTGGATTTGTATCAGCATCCCCAAGGGACAGGGCCTAGAGCCGGGCAGAGCGGAGAGCGAGAGAGAGAGAGGCTCGGGATGGGCTGAGGCCCGTGAGAGAGGGGCTGTGTGTGTGTGTCTGTGCACATGTCGGGGTGGGGGTCAGGCCTGTGGAGTGGGGCCCTGTGTCTGTCTGCATGTGCATGTATGCCTGCATCTCTGTGAGGCCGGTGGGGGGGCAGGCCTGAGGAGGACTGTCTCCCACCCACCCCATACCTTCCTTGCAGCAAGGCAAGCCGCTCACTGCCCTGTCTCTCTTTTTGCTCTCCTCCGTTTCTTTAACTGGCAACTCTCCGTGGCAGCACCAAGGTATGGTTGTCTCTTTCTGCTTTCCTCTCCCCACGAGGTGGGTCTGAGGCCGACCAACCTCACCAGGGTCCAGAGGGCCGGGTTACCTTGTGGTTTGGCGGGCACAGCAATCCCTGATACTTAATCCACCTCTTGCAAACATTCTCCTGACCCTCTACCACCACTGGAGGCCAGAGGGCCCTGAGAAATCAGAGCCACTGGATGTGTTAAAAAGGGAAGCCCAGGGGAGTTCGAGCCCAGTAGCCGCTGGAGTCCCCAAGCAGGGTGCTGTGGAAGCCCCTTGGGAGAGCCCAGAATCCAGTGATGCCCACAGAACCTGGCCCTGGGTCAGTCCTGGGGCCTGAGAGGAACCAGGGACCCTCCCTGAGAAGGAGGCTGGACAAGCCCAGCTGCGCAGGTGGACGGTGCTTCCGTGGGAAGCTCGAGAGGTGGAGGTAGAAGGAGAGTCGAGGTGGGCTCGGAGGGGAGGTGATGAGGGCCAGAGGCAGCGGCAGGAGGAGGAGTGAAGACTTAAGCAGGGCCCAAGTGACAAAGGGTCTTTGTTGGCCAGCGATGGGCTGTGTCCAAGGGCACCAGGGGGGTCATGGAGGGTTTGGAAGAGCATGGCCAGCTCTGTGAACAAAGGGAGGCAGTGGGCATGGATTTGTTCAAGGAGAGCGATGGAGCCCCAAGGGTAAGGGGCACAGATGCTCAGCCGCCCCAGGTCTGTGTCGGAGACCCACTTCCCTGTTGGCCTCCCATGATTGTCGGGGAAGGACCAGAGAGCAGTCTGGGGACTCTGGCGCCGTTGCCAGGGGTGGTCAGCTACTCCTAGCCAGGGGTCCTGCCATACCCCAGCCTGACCCCATGACCATGCCCCTTGCCCCATGCTGTCCCTCCCTGTTCCCCTCTCCCCCTCCCCCTGCTCCTCCTCCTCCTCCTTTTCCTCCTCTTCTCCAAGGCAACCACCACACGTCACTCCGTGTGCGCTTGCTGCCTCTCTGCAGCTCTGGGCTGTGAAGGGTATTCTTCCTCCGAGCCAGGGTAGAGCAGGGAGAACCCTCCATGGGCCCCTTCTGCGGAGGAGGAAAGTGAGACTCAGAGAGGAGAGGCAACTGACCTGAGGTCTCAGCGTGAGGGTGGCTTTGAGACACAGACCCCCTCCTTCACTACCAGGCCAGGCACCTTCCCCACAACCCTGAGCAGGGCTGGCTCAGTCAGACCCCTTCGGGCCAGGGACATGGAGGGAGGGACGGCATGAGCTTGCAGCCTGCCCCTCGCCAGGCATCCTCCCCACCGCAGGTCACACAGCAGGACCTCACTCACCCACCTCTGCTCTCTGATGTTGCAGAAGCCATACGCCTGTCAGATCCCTGGCTGCTCCAAGCGCTACACGGACCCCAGCTCCCTCCGCAAGCACGTGAAGGCCCATTCGGCCAAAGAGCAGCAGGTGCGTAAGAAGGTAAGACGGCCTCTGTTCCAGGCCCAGCTCTGCAGGCACCCCTGCTGGCCTCCCGGCCCCATGTCCAGCCTCACGCCAGGAGCCCACACTCCTTGTGTGCATTTGCCCTTCCACTCACCAAGGATGCTGCTGTCCATCGTCCACCATCTGCCTCACACCCCTCCTCAACCCCCGCCAGCCAGCCAGACTGCCCAACTCCTCTCTCATCCCTCTGCCCACTCACTGTGGCTCATCTATTAAACGTTTGACGTCAGGCACTGTGTAGGGCTCGAAGATGCAAAAATGGAAAACCACGGTCCCCATCTTTAATGGAGACCTGGTGGGTGACAGACCCCAGTACAGCGGAAGGGACAGGGCTGCGACTTGGGGCAGAACCGACTGGCTGGGTTCCACCCATACTGTGTAAGACCACTGGGGCATGGGATGGCCACACCCGAGAGCCAGGAGGGTATGGGGCGAAGAGAAACATCAGGGCCCAATCCGGGGTGTCGGCGTGACAGAGCGGGAAGAGCCCATTCATTCACTCAGGGATTTATGGAGCACCCCTTTCTTCCAAGTGCTGTTCTCAGAGCTATGGGTATGGCCGTGGATAAAGCAGAGACAGGGCTGGAGGCTGGAGAAAGCAGACACTTTAGTCATGGGCTGTGGGTGCCGAGAGTGGGTGCTGGGTGGAGCAAGCCGTGGGAAAGACAGTCGTGGGGAGACAGCGGGCTTGAGACTGGTCTTCATCCTGCAGGCAGCGGGGCCAGGAAGCGGGAGAGCAGAGGGACATGGTCAAAGCAGGCGCCTTCAGCTCGGGGGTAAAAACACCACATCCCCGGGAATGGAGGGCGACTTAAACTCAGCCCCGTGTCTGGTGCTTCTCAGACTGTCTCATTTAGGCCTAGGAAGTGGGCACTATTTTTCCCATTTTAGAGATGTAGAAACTGAGGCTCAGAGAGTTCACAAATCTGCCCAGGTTGTGCAGCATGGGAGTGACGGAGCCAGGGTCCCATGCCAGACCCAGCATCTGCAGGCCCTGAGCTCTCTCGACCCCTCTCATGGGAGGGGCCTGAGTGGGGACAAGGACTAGCCCAGGCTCCATGCCAGGGTTGTCTGTCCCTGGCGGCCTGGTGCCCAAGGACCCGAATCCTGCCCTGGTTTTCCCAGGCCCCATGCTTGGCTCACGCCGAGCCCCAGGGACCTGGAGCCTCGAGCTGCAAACCTCCCAACAATAAGCATCCATTAGAGCCATCGGGGATGATGTATCTTTCTGGGTAAGGCGACCCTTGTATTATGACAGCTCCTTGGCAGCCTCGCTGCGTTTCAGAGAGAATTAGAAATGCTTTTCTCCCTTAATTCTCCTCTCCTGCTGCTCCTAATCCGATCGACATTGCGGTCTGAAAGGCATGCTTGGGCCCTCTTTTGCCAGAAACTTAATTTACATGGAAAACAGCTGCTGGGTCAAGGAGCTGAGAGCCCATTGGGAGGCTGGGCATGCCTTCTCCAAACCTGGGTGCTGGCCCTTCTGGCTGAGAGGGTGGGAAAACCCTCGGGGCTGACTCTCAGCCACAGGGCGGCAGGAGGCACGTCTCTCGCTTTCTTTGGGTCGGGTTTGTCCCTGGTAAAATGAGGATTTGGACACGTCAGTCTTCAGGGTTCTCAGATTTGGGCCTTGGGATTTCCCTGGGAGAAGGGGCCCTTCCCATCCAGGTGCATGCCCACGCCTCACCCAGTGTCCCTAGGGCCCCAGTCAGCCCCGCCCCTCCCCACCTGGCCCCATCTGGAGAGGTGCCAGGCTCTAGTCTGTCTTTAAGGGACAGCTGAGGGTTGTTGGCCAAAGATGTGCCAGCCCAGCCTTGCTCTGAAGCAATGACCTCAGGGCCATATATGGGTCAAGTGCCCACTGTGGGACCCAGCGAGCCCTTCACACAGCACATGCAGCAGGTGTGCTTGCACCATCATTTGCTGTTCCTCACAGTAGCCGGGGTGAGGGGATTATTGTTGCTACAGGCAGGGGAGGGGAGAGCCAGAGAGGCATTTGCCCAGTGTCACACAGGGAAGAAGAGGAGATGGAGGAGGGTTTGAACCCAGTCCTCTGTCCCTAGCCCTGGACTATTTCCGCTGCATCTATGCTAAGAAAAAAGAAAGGTGGTGGGGGTGGGATAGGCAAGAGGGAAACACTCTATGTCCTCTATTTCACTCCCACTCCATCCCTTCACGCTGTGGCAGCTACGGGAACGTGCCCATGGGAGGCCCCAGCTGCACTGTGGACACCCATCTAATGTTGGTGCTGAGGCAAGACCCCTTCCCATGACCCGTCTAGGAAGCTCCCACCAGCCTCCTTTCCCTTCCTGCCCTTGGGGTCAGACTTGTAAGGTGGTCTGATCTCTCCCAGCCTGCCCAGCTCTCACATAAACATTCCCCATTAAAATCCTTGCCTGGTCAACCTCGTCGTAGCATCTGCTTCTCACGCCTGAACTAACACAACCTTCCGAGGGACACAATTAGCTCCATTTTATAAATGAGGAAACTGAGGCACAGTGAGGTGAAGGGTCTTGCCCTGGGGCCACCATCCTTCCTGCCCTGTTCCCTAAAGCGAGGTGGCTGGGGGCCAGCTGTCTCGTGCCAACACCCTCTCTCCCTGTGCTTGCTCCCCAGCTGCACGCGGGCCCTGATACTGAGGCCGACGTCCTGACCGAGTGTCTGGCCCTGCAGCAGCTCCACGCGTCCACACAGCTGGCTGCCAGCGATGGGAAGGGTGGCCGAGCCTTGGGCCAGGAGCTGCTCCCAGGTATGCGTGCTGGGAGGCAGGGCCAGGCTGACAGCCTGCAGGCCTTCACTGCCACCAGCCCCGCAGGAGGACAGGGTGCTCTGTGGGCCCCCGGGGCGATATAGGCATGACTGAGGGAGACCCTCCTTCACACTCACCTGTGACTCCCATTGCCCAGGGAATGAAGCCAGGCTCCTCTCAGCCCTCCCCAGAGGCCTCGCGGCCCAGGCGCTCCTGGCGCCTCCTGACCCACCCTTGGCACGCTGGACGCAGTTTCCCGAACACCCTGCGCTCCCTCTTTCCTCCGAGCCCTGTACACACTTCGCCAGCCTCCTCTCCACCTCTGCCCTTCCTTTAGGACCCCCCTCAGTCCGGCCCCATGCACTCCCCAGCGGGACTCTGTGCCCGGAGGAGAGGACCGGGGCTGTGCGAGGTGGGAGACATGGCCGGAATCACTTGGCTCACTCTAAACTCTGCCCAAAGATGCCCCCAAACCCCTGGGCCCCTAAAGGCTCCTCCAGCCAGACTCAGAGCCTCCCGTCCCCCGAGGCAGCCTGCGTGTCCCTCCCCACGGCCCCCAGCCATGGGCAGGTCTCGGTGGACAGGGGCTCCAGCCCAGACAGGGCAGTGTGGCCTGTGGCTTCCAGCTGACAACGGTGCGCTCTCCCCTCCGCTCCCCACAAGAAACCACAGGATCAGAGCAGCAAGCTCTTCCCACCCTCTGGGATTTCTTGATTTGCTCCAACCGTTTTAAACATTTTTTATTTTCCAATTTTTTATTCTTTCCTCTCAGCATTGAAGTAGCAGCAGATTTCAAACCATCAGAGCACTTGGTGTGTGTGCAGGCAGCCCACAGGGCGGGGACAGCTCAGGGTGGCTCCCTCCCTCCTCCCCCTGCCCAGGGATGCTTCTCACACGGTCAGGGTTGCTAAAACAGCAGGACAAGAAGGGGCAGTAGGGGGTGACCCAGCCCAGGGATGAAGGCTTACATCTCCAGTGCCAGCTCCCTACAGAGGGCGATGACTGCGGGAAGCTCAGTATTGAGAGGATTCCGAGGCTCAGCAGGAAAGAGGGCTGTGGCTGAGGAGCGGTAGCTTCCTGCAGCCCCATCGTTTTCACCCTGGGAGCACTCAGGCCATCGGAGACCTTAGCAGGCCCAGATGGGAAAGCTGCTGCTCCCGGAGGCCAGCCCAGGGCCAGCAGTGACCGTCTCTCGAGCACTTGGCTGCTCCAGTCACTTTGCAGACGTCCTCTCGTTCAGTCCCCAGTGCTCCCATGATGCAGCCGAGAACAAGGTCACTGAGGGGCACCATGGAGCAGCAGCACTGGGTGGCAGCAGCTGCCCAGGCCCGGCTGACGCCAAGTGAGTGTGCCTTCCCTGCCTGGGGCTTCAGGTCCCCCCACCAGACCTGCTGTGATGACACATGTGATCGCTTTTACAAAACCAACGGGACTGACCATTTTATCATCATCATTATTATCATTGTGGCTCACGGCGAACGAGAAACTATTTACTTATCCATCTCAGAGTAATGCCACAGCCAGCATTTGCTGAGTCTGTGCAGGAGCTGTTCCAGGTACCACACACGCAAGTGTTAACCTACATCAACCTCAACGAGCACATGCTTCTTACAGCCTGAAGTGCGTTTGGGGAAAGGCCTGGCAAGCCCTGGCATCCCACTCTCCCTGCCCGTCACCATGCGCTTTCCTCTCCAGGTGAGGAAACAGCTCCTGTGAGGCCGAGCCACCTTTTGCTGAGGTCCCACCGCCAGTAAAGGGCAGAGGCTGGGACGCAGGTCATCTGGTTGCAGGCTGTGCCCTTAACCAAACAGTCTGCCGCTTCACCACACTTTGCCAAACTGAGCACCTAGTGTGTGCCAGGCCCCCTGCTGGTCCCTGACCTCGAGCAGCTTCTCGAGCAGCAGGGAGGGAGGGACCAGCCAGGCAAACCCAGGAGTCCTGGTCTCCTAAGCTCCTGCCCTGGGTTCTGCTGTGGGCGCCCGGCAGATGCCTGAAGCACAGTTGGGAACAGATGTTAGGGCCAGAGGTTAAGCACTCACGGCTGATGATTGATGATGCTGATTTACAGCCTGAAGTGGTGCGTTTTGGGGAGAGGGCTGGCAGGCCCCATGGCGTCCCCACTCTCCCTGCCCATCACGAGGTGGTGATCCCCTCATTCCCACCCACTGTCTGTTCCCATGTTCAACATGCCTCATTCATGAGCTCGTCCTCAGGAGGCGGGGCCCCCAGGGACCTGGATGGGGCCGGCAGAGGCTGGGGAAAGCAGGGGTTGTGTCAAGCAGTGCTAGGATGGAAGAGTCCCGAAGCGGGGTGAAGGCGAGGGAGGCGCTGGGGAGGGGGACATTGAATTTTCATTGTCCGACTATTGGAAGCTCCTGCGAGCTTGTCCCTCATCAGGAAGGACTGCAGGCTTCACGGGAAACCTTGGCGGCTTCTCTGGCAGGTTCTTAGCAGACCCAGGCAGTGAGGACGTGAGAAGCATGAGGTCACCATGGCTGACGGAGAGGGTGCAGGATTTATCAGCATTCTAGGCCTTCCAAGCTTTCGGGCCCCCAAATTAGTTCAAGATGGCATCAAGAGTGGTGAGCAGAGCAGGGCCAAGCCAGCTCCATCCGCTGAATCCCCTCCAGGGCCTGCCTGGCCGAGCTGGGGAAGGAGGTGTGGGCAAGGGAGCCCGTGGGTGGGTGGATGGCTTCGCTGCCACGGGAGCAGCGGTCCCTCAGACAGGCAGGGGTAAGGTAAGGATAGGGGCCAAGAGGCAGAGGGCCCTCAGGAACCCATTCGGAGCCGGGCCTCAGCCAGCCCACAGTGCAGCCTGGACCGGAGGCATCCCCGCCAGAACCTGAGCTGCAGCCAGGCATTGCCTGCCCCTGGCTTTAAATGGACTTCCTTTTGCTATCACCTGGGAGAGCTGGTGAGCAGTATCCAGCCTGCTCACCCATCCGTGGCCCCCAGGCCAGCCTGCCGTGAGCTAGCACAGCATCCTCTCTTTGGACGCCTCACACCGGACATCTGGGTTCTGCTCCCACATCTCCGGGATGATGGGTAGTTCACTTCCCCAAAGGTAGTCCATTGCCTCATAGCAGCTTGGCCCGTAGAAGGTACGGCCACGCCCTGAGCTACAGTCTGCTTCTCTCCAGTCCAGGAGCCCTGTTCTGCTGCTGGGGCTGCAGATACACAGTGCAAGCGCCTTCTCTCCCAGAATAGCCCGGAGGTTGGAGGCAGCCGCTCCACACTGTCCTCCTGTCCCAGTAGACACACACACACCCACCCACACACACACACACACACACACACCCACACACACACACACACACACACACAGACACACACACGGGCCGCCCAGGCCTCTGACAGCCCTTGTCAGGCCTCTGCTCCAGGGTAGGCCTCAGCTCCGCGCACAGCCCTTCAAGAAGCCGGGGCATGAGCAAAGCAGAGTGGACCCATCCTCTCCTTGTTTGGGCCCCTAACCTATGGCCACAACCTTGCTGGTTCCCTTCTTGTCTTTCTCTCTCCATAAGCAGGCGCACAGCTCCTGGTCGTCCACAGCCGTCTCGAGGGAGCGGCCGAAGCCCAGCGGTATTTGTTTGCTTCCCTGCAGGCGTGTATCCTGGCTCCATCACCCCCCATGATGGGCTCGCACCAGGTCTTCTGCCCCCCACGCACGATGTCCCTTCCAGGCACCACCCACTGGAAGCCACCACCACTTCCCACCACCTGTCCCCCCTGCCCATGGCTGAGAGCACCAGGGATGGGTATGTACTGCAAGCCCACCCTCCTCCGAGGTGGCCAGCGGCACCTGCAGGCGAGGGCAGGCGTCCCTCACACCACATGGTTGTTACTGAGAGGAAATAGCCAACGCTCAGGCAGCTCTCACTATGTACTACGTCAAACTCGGTCCGGGCACGATCTCCCTGGCGTCTCACAGGAGCCCTCCTAGGTCGGTGGAATGGCACCTGGGCTTCTTGAGGCCTCGCCCTGTGCACACCCTCCTCTCCGTGGGGTGTCCTGCCTCCGGCTGCCACGCCCACACCCCGGTCTCCTTGGGAGCCTCACTCAGTTTCCCTCTGGCTCACACTGTGCACTTGGCAAGCAGATTGCCCACCGCCCACTCCAAGATGCCCACTGGGCCTCGCCCCACTCTGGACGGTGCAGCTGGGACCCGTTGCAGGTCCTGCCAGGCTGCCCAGGAGCCCTCACGGCAGGGTCACTGCAGGGAGGGGCGGCCTCTTCCTGCAGTCAGTGCGGTTCCCCTGTGGCCACTTAATTGGCTGGAAATGGTGAATGTGCTAATTGCTGGCCTCCAATGCTGCCAAAATCTGCTTTCCTTGACCTGCCTCCTGCCTCCCGGCCACTTTCGCTTACCTCCAGCAGGAACTGATCGAACTGTCCCCCAGGGCCCGCTCCAGAGCCTTCCTCCGCCCCGTCCTTGCTCCCCACAGCCACAGTCTTGGCCGACTTGTGCCTGGGCTGACCTGGCTTTATCGCCAGGGCTCCTCCTGCTACTGACTCACCCTTTTATTCTAAGTCCACATAAGCCCCTGGTGGGGGCAGGCCTGTGCCACTGGCCCCAGCCCTGGGGAAGCTCCGTGAGGAGGGGTCAGGACAGGCCTGCAGAGATTGGCCACACAGCATGTGCTTGAGGGAAGGAGGGGAAGGCCCAGAGGAGAGCCCAGTGCGGTGGGGGAGGCTGGCCGGAAGGCTTCCTGGAGGTGATGTCAGCCGGGCCTCCAGGTTCGTAGGAGCTGGCTGAGCGGAGAGGTTGGGGGAAGGAGCAGCCAGAGTGAAGGCCACATGTGGTGAGAGCCTGGTGTGTCCTGGGACACGGATCTTCGTGGGCTGACAGGCTCGGGAGAGAGGCCAGGGGGTGGCGGGACACTGATGGGTGCTGAGCAGTGAGTGGTCAGGTCTGGGGATGAGAAGCGAGGCCTGCAGCGTGAGCCTGGGTGCCGGAGCAGCATCGGGGTGGGTGCTGGCAGCCTGAGCGGGGCTGTGGGTGGGAGGAAGCAGCGCCGGGAGGCATCAGTGACCTGGAAGAAGCAGGATTTAGGGAAACTCTGGCTGGTGGAAGGAGGGGGGCCATGGAGGAGCCCCCAAGGGGCAGAGGTGCCACACATGGAGCCAGGGCAGACTGTGGTGGCGAGGGCACGGACAGCCACAGGGAGGCAGCCTGACAGGGCCCGAGGGGCACCCAGAAAAGCGAGCCCTGCCGGAGCCTGAGCTCTTCACTGTAAAGGGAGCCTTCGGTCCTTCCTGGGGGAAGGGCGAGACCCCTGCATATGCTGACACCGTAAGTGTCACCCAGTACAGCGTCCAGGACACCAGCCCCACCTCTGGCGCAGGCCACCTGCTCACCCACCAGCCAGCCCCAAGCATCTCCAGCCAAAGCAAAATAAACCAGAGGCTCTCCTTAATTCTGCAGTGCCGTTCATCCCTGGGCACGTGCGCTCTGCTCTGCCTCATTCGTCACCTGCTTGCCGCCCGCCCGCGTAAGTGCCCGTCAGGAATTCCTGCAATTGGGGCAGAGTGATGACAAGCCCGAGACGGACCCCCGGCTCGCTCGCCCACCCGTGCCTGCGGGAGCCCAGGCTCCAGTCACCCAGCCGCCCGGCGCCCAGGCTCCTCCGGCTGTGGGAGAGGGGCCCTCAGGCTGACACCAGGCCCAGCCCGGCTTGAATGGGTTTCTTTTTCCAGCCCCGAGAGGAGGTGGGGGCAGGCCTGCAGCCTCCCCTTCCTGCCAAAGTCAACAGGGAAGGCTGCTCGCGGCTCCCTGGGGTTCGCTGGGACGTTTAAAGGGCCTGACAGAATTATCTGATTCACTCGGAAATATGCTGAGAGGGCCTGACTTCATGACCAAATTTATTTATTCTGGCTCAGGGAGGACGCCGAATAGGGTGGTATTTTACCCCGGCCCCGTACGAGGTATGAAGCCCTGCGTCTGCCAGGCCAGTGAGGTTTTATATTAATTTTTATAGGTTCCAATTGGAGCGAAAATATTTGATTTAGGAGTCATCTGCATGACTCAAGAGAGGAGCTCCAGATGATCTGTTTCCTTTTAAAGGGTTCAGGTGGAGCCGCGTAACCACAGTCATCGCGTCTGCTGCGGAGAGAGCCGCGTTCTGTTTAATTTCACTGGCTGTGAAGGTGGCAAATGTGGGTTTGCGGCAGGTGTGAGGCAGGAAACACAAACTTTGGGAATGCATGTTTGTTCCCTTCGGATCTGGCTCTCCGTAATTCTGCAGTGCCGTTCATCTCTGGGTTTTGTGGCTGAGCAATTCAGAAACGCGTCTGTGAGTGTTTGTCAGCTGTTTGCTGCGTGCCAGGCCCAGGGCTGAGCGCCGGGGACAGAGGACGGGGCCTGGCCCTCCCGCAGGAGCGGGCCAGTGGGAAAGCAGGGGAGAGCTGGAGTGTGGGTACCAGACTGGGGTGGGCATCAGGCACACGGGCCCCACCCTGCTGGCCACACCTCGGCCCCGATTCAGCCTGGAGAACCAGTGAGGGGCGCACAGCTGGCGCACACCCTCACAGTTTATGGAGCAGAGTGGGAGACCCGGCCCCCCGCCGGCCCTGTGAGCCAGGCCTAACAATATTCACGCAGACGATGGTGACAGTCCCTTCATGGGGCCTTGATGAGGGTCCAGTTCATTAACAGGAGGAGGCTGAAGTGTCCCTGCAGGGTGCCAGGTGCTGGGCTGGGGACCCAGCGCATGCGGAGGCCGCCCTTCTGCTGCCCTCAGAGCACCCGCAGTGGTGGGCCCAGACACCGGAGTGGGGACGGCCAGTGGGGGTCAGGGGGGCGCAGTGATGGCTGGATGCCCCCACTGAAGGGAGCAGCTAGGACCCGGCAGAGCTGCAGACATGGAGCCACGGCCTCTCCCCAAACCCCTTCCCTGTTTCATGATGGTCCTGCTTCCCAGAGGCACTCATCTGTCCCGCTAACACCCAGTGCCTGGAGGGTGGGCCAGGCAGCACGTGATCCAGGAGAGATGCCAGGGACGGACACGAGGCCCTAAAGGCGGCGGGCAGGGGAATGAAGGCCACCTGCTGGTTTTCCTTCCCTCGTCTTGACGATGATGACTCACCGAGTGGCTGACAGTGTGCCTGCCGTCGTCCTGCTGCTTTGCCTGCACTGCTTTATCCGTGTTATTTGCACTGTAACTACGTCAGTGCTGTGTGGCCAGACTCACCAGGCAACCTCTCTGGACCTTGGTTTCTGATCTGTGAGGACACAAGGGGGAGGCGGAGGCTCAGTGAGTGGACTGTCGTGCCATGGGGTGGCCTCCTGCTAAGGAACGGCCTAGGCCAGTGGTCGGCAAACTCATTAGTCAACAGAGCCAAATATCAACAGTACAACGATTGAAATTTCTCTTGAGAGCCAAATTTTTTAAACTTAAACTATATAGGTAGGTACATTGTTATTAACTTAATTAGGGTACTCCTAAGGCGTGGGAAGAGCCACACTCAAGGGGCCAAAGAGCCGCATGTGGCTCGCAAGCCGCAGTTTGCCGACCACTGGCCTAGGCTTTCGCTGTGGCTGTTCCCAGACTCACGCTGCAGGCACCAGAGCGGCACGCACAGCCAGTGTCGGGATGCAGCAGGGGAGGCTGGCATCAGCCCTGGTCAGAGCAGCAATCTGTCCTGCAGGGGACACAGTGTCCCTGTGGGCAACCCCGGCTCAGAGACATCGGCCTCTTGCCCAAGGTCACGTGGCCAGTGAGAGCAGACGAGGCTTTAAACACGGCTCTGTCGACTCCAGAGGTCGGGCTCCTACTGTGAGTCCTAACACCAGGCAGCAGCTCTCCTTTCCTGATTCCTTTGGCTCTAATGCTTACAAGATCTAAAGTTTAATTCCAGTTTGAACACAGTCAGAAATAACATCCTCCTCTTCTACCTAGACTGTCACAAGGTTGAGCAGGCCAGCTAGTGAGCTCACCCTTGCTGGAGGGAAGCAAGCAGCAGTGGCCATGCCTCTGGCCCCCAGCCCTGAGCCCACCCTGCTCACAGCTGCCTCTGTTTCCTCCAGGTTGGGACCCGGCCTCCTCTCACCCATGGTCAGCCCACTGAAGGGGCTTGGGCCACCGCCGCTGCCACCGTCCTCCCAGAGCCATTCTCCGGGGGGCCAGCCCTTCCCCACGCTCCCCAGCAAGCCACCCTACCCGCCCTTCCAGAGCCCTCCACCCCCGCCTCTGCCCAGCCCCCAAGGTAAGCCCTGGCTGCAGCCTCTCCTGCCCACAGGGACTCCTGCTAGGTGCCCAAGAGGATGGGACCCCGACCTGGGGGAGGCAGGTGGGCAACAGAGTGACAGCAGGCCCTGAGGCCTCACCGGAAAAGCCAGACAGGGACTCAACACGCGGACTCGGGCACTTCCTGGAGGAAGTTTGTGCTGAGGGGTGAAAAACAGCTTGTTCATTGATAGGGCTCTCCCAGCAGGGGGAGCAGCATGGCAGTGGCAGGGAACAGCTGCTGCTGGAGGGATCTCAGAGGAGAAGGGTGAAGGGCCACAGCCCCTGCCGTCAGAGCACTCTCATCAGCCACCAACAACTCCCTCCGGTGCAGCCATGAGGCCCTGTCGCCCACGCCCTCTGGCGCAGGCAGAGCTGGCACCTCTACACCCTGGGGCTCCCCGCTCTCAGTCACACCCATCATGCCTGTTCAGGAAGCATTGCGGGGAGCGGGGGGGGGGGGGGGGGGGGGGGGGGGGCTACACAGCGTAGCAGAGCCGTGGCCCTCCGCCTGGGCGTTTCCTTGGTTACTGCAGCCCTGCCGCTCCCTCTGCAGGGTACCAGGGCAGCTTCCACTCCATCCAGAGCTGCTTCCCCTATGGCGACTGCTATCGGGTAGCTGAGCCAGCAGCCGGTGGGGACGCCCTGGCTGGGGAGGCCTCTGGTTTCAACCCCCTGCGGCCCAACGGCTACCACGGCCTCAGTGCACCTTTACCTGCCACAGGTAAGCCCACCTGCATGGCTCCCTCCCCCGAAGGCCCACCAGGGCCCAACCCTGATGCCCATTGTCCCGCCGCTGTGGGACAGCCCCCGAGGCAGAGTCGTCCGCTTTGCAGAGGGGAAATGGAAGCCCAGGGAGGTCCCAGGACCCACAGAATGGGGACATGCGCCCCGCCCGGCCCAAAGTCGGTTCCTCCACAGCCTCACACGCTCACTCGTGTCCAGACTCTGGCAGGTTTCTGAAGACGCAGAAGAATCAGGCTGGAGCTTAGTCTCGTCGATGTTCCCTTTGAATATTTACTGTGTACCTACTGTGTGTGGGGGGCACAGTTGTAGGCCCTGGGGATCCGGCAGGGAATGAGACTACACTCATCCGTGTAACCGATAAGGAAACAGGCCCAGAGGGGCCACACGGTTAGGAAGGGCCAGAGCCTGGAGGTCGTGCTTGCTCTTGTGCTGCACGTGTTCCTTCAGGGCCCTGGGCCTCCCTCAGGCAACGCCCTTGGCTGGGGTGGAGAGGCCCAGTGACAGGGCAGGGCTGTGGGAGCCCAAGGCAGAGTCAGGCTCAGATCAGCCGGGCCAGTCCTGCTCAGAGCAGGGGCACAGATGGTGGGGCTGGGCCCACCCTGAGTTCTCCAAGCCAAGCCCCACCCAGGTCAGCCCCAGGGCCCAGGTCCAGCTGGCAGCTACAAGGCCTGGGCAGGATGCGGGGATCCCAAGACAGAGGGGAGCCTGAGGCCCTGTCCCAGAGGCCCCTTGGGCAGCTGGGTGTGTGCAGCTGGGCGTATAGGCATAAAGTCATAGGGACAAGCACCGAGGCCACAGAAGAGCAGACACAAAGCCGTGGACCCATGTTTTCTGTTCACACGCATGCTCCCTTGTCTGCATATGTCTTATTCTTCATGTGCCTGTGGAACCGTGTGTGTGTGTGTGTGTGTGTGCACATAGAGCCGGCATGTGTAGGTTCCAGGCAGTGTGAGCCCCATGAGTGTGTAAGGAGCTTGCAGGACACGTGCTCATGTGTGCACACATGTGCTCACATCATGTGACCCCCATCCATGCACACACACGTGGTTCTCCATCCCATAACCCCATCTGCATGCACAGACTGTGTTCACATATGGTGTAAGTACCTCTGGGGATGGACATGTCACATACATGCTGTAGGCTAGCGTATACCCAGTCACAGGGTGTGTATGTGCCATGTTTGCATGCATATGGATTGATATGTGATTAGGCACTGGCCGCTGGCCACAAGGTTGAACAAGGTGGCACCATGGGGCCTTAGGAATAGTTCATCCTGAACCCATTTCACAGATGGGAAGACTCAGGCCCTCCTGTCTTAGGCTACAAAAGTTCATGACAACAGCCCAGGCGCAGAGTCCTTAGGGCAGGCAGAGATTGGATAAGGCGACCTCTCCAGACCCCTCCCATGTCGAGGGCCTCCCTGGGAGACAGCATGTCCGATGGAAGAGCCAGCTGGCTTGGCGCCAGATGGACCTGGGTCCAAAGCCCACCTCTCCCCCTGAACTGGGGAAGTGTACTGCCCTCTCTGGGCATCTCTTCAGCTCTGCACTGGGACAGTGCGTCTCATCTCCCAGGACTGCTGTGACACTTGAGTGATAAGACTTCACCGAGCATATAGTCGGTGCCCATTGAGTGCTGGTCCCTTCTGTGGGCTCCTGTGTCTGGTGGAGGAACCTGAAACAATGGGGTGGGCTGGGGTCCTTCTGCCAGGAGGGGACCAGCCCCTGCAGGCAAGAGCTATGATAACCCCCCCATACTTTTCTCTCCCCCCCCCCCCATTCTGCCGCACAGCCCAGCACTGGGGGAGAGATCCCCAAGCCAGCCTGTGCCTATCTCCCCAGCTGCCCTGGGCCCTTTGGCAATACAAGGCCTAGGGCGCCTCCCCCACCCCTACCTGGAAGGGCAGAGGGCTCAGATCAGGCCCTGCCGCGGGGACACTGAGATGAGGGACCCTAGCAGGAGGGTGGGGTCTGGGAGCTGGGAGAAGATGACAAGGCATCACCCCCGAGTTCTCCAGCCCAGACCCTGTGCCCACACAGGCTACGAGGCTCTGGCCGAGGCCCCGTGCCCTACCGCGCTGCCGCCACAGCCACCTGAAGACGTCGTGTCCAGCGGCCCCGAGGACTGCAGCTTCTTCCCCAATGGGGCCTTTGACCACTGCCTTAGTCACATCCCCTCCATCTACACCGACACCTGAGGAAGGCCCTGCCCCCCCCCCCCCCCCCCCCCGTCCACCCTCCCATCCACCCTCCACCTCAGATGCTGCCTTGCCCGCCGGTGTGCGTCCCCACCCTCCGTGCACCAGCCTGAGCAGCCGGACCGAAGCTCTCTGCACACGGTCCATGGCGCCCAGCGCTCGCCGGTGCTCAGAGGTGCTGGCAGCGTCCGCGACCTGTGCTGGTCCCTGACTGTCTTCCTTTTCTCCCCGATGTCTTTACATCACAGACCTCGTGTGTATAGAGTGTACAGGACTTGTTTTCCATTCTCCTGCCAGTTTTCTATTTTTGGTTTTACAAGAAAAACATTAAAAACTGGAAATGAGACTCGGGGCCTGGCTCTGCTTTAGTGGCTCAGCCCAGAGGCTGGGAGCAGGAGAGCGGCCCAGGTGTGTGTAGTGGAGCGTGTGTGGGGCTCGGGAGGCCACACGGAGACCCCTCCGGCCCTGGGTGCCCCGTGGGGGATGGTGGGGATGGGTGCCTGAGTCTCGTGCCCCTCAACGTGCTGTGAGCCCTACAGATACCCGCACTAGTCTCAGGCCTCAATGATAGGCAGGCTTCTCCCCATGGGCGTGCAGGAGGACCAAGGCTGGGACTGAAACTGGAACCCAGATCCATCTGACCCAGACCTTTGCTACCTGCACAGACTTCCCCGTGGGAGGAAGATGAGCTCCAATTCTGGGGTGGCTGTGGATGAACCAGGCAGGACAAGCCTCGAAAGGCAGGGGCAGAGGCAGGGCCCCTGCAGGCAGGCCAGGGAGGGAGGGAGGAGGCCAGGTCTGAGGACAGCAGGGCTCCCCTGGGGCTGCGCCTGCCCTGCCTGCCTCCCTCCCCCGGTCCAGCACGGGAGCAGGCCCACCACCAGGCCTGGGCAGTACCCTGGACAGTGTCTGCCTCATCACACCATCCTGAGGGTCACCTGGCAGGAAAAATTCCTCAAGGAAGATTCCTGCCTCGCAGCTGCTAGAGTGCAACAAGCACCTACTGTGCGCCAGGCCCTGCCCCAAGCTCCTGACAGCCCTGGGAAGGACTTTCGATCCCCTCTCGGTAACACCTGCTGGGTTAGGGGCGCAAGGTGAGATGGAAAGATCTCGGCAAACCCTTCTTTACAGAGAGGAACCTGAGGTCCAGAAAGGCCACCCGCCATGTGGTGACAGGACGGGTGACGGAGGCCGTGTGGCACCTCGCCGAGGGGTGCAGCTCTGCCAGTCCTGCTGTGCTTCACATGGCTCAGCTCTCGCCTCCTGCTCACCCCCCTCCTCCCCTGTGTATGTTCCTCCCTCGCTGTGTCAGGCCCCCCTGTGGGCCTGTGTCTGGGGCTCCCTCCCCTCTGCTCCTGGCTGGCTGCGGCCAAGGAGGAGCTTAGCATGGACGGAGGGAAGAGGGAGGCCGTCTCCTGACACCCTGCTCACACCTTGTACGTAGTCCCTTCACGTCACCCTCTTCCACGGTCCCCCACTTCACAGGTGCAGAGACGGAGGGAAGCGAAGGCACAGCCCCAAGTAGTAGGGCTGGGATGCAGACCCCAGCCTCTGGCTCCGGAACCTGCACTCCACCCACTGCACTGCCCGCCCCTGGAAGACGGGGCCACCTGGTTCCCAGCCCCCTGCCAGCCCCTCGGGACGGGACTAACCCAGTGTCACCCAGAACGCCAGCCTCTGGGGTGCAGACCAGGGCTCCTGACTCCCGCCGCCCAGGCTCCATTGCCCCTCCACCCCCACCCCCACCCCGTCCCATCCCCCTCTGGTTTTATGGAACTAATTAGGTTGTGGCAAAATTCCTTTAACAGGGATGCTCAGGACTCAATGCTGCATGTCATTGTAAGCACTTAATCCACTCCAGATAAGCAGAATTAAGCTGTACAATGAGGACATATTTCTAGTAATAATGAAAAGGGCTGAGCCATGAGCAGAACACACAGGGAGCCAGCAGTTGGATCCCATTTAATTTCAGAGACAGAAAAGGAGACAAAGGCAAAGAGAAACAAAGAGACCGAGGGAAGCAGCCGGGCGCGTTGGAGATGGAGGCGGCGCCCAGCCTGGAGCCCAGCGTAGCTTCCATCCTCCCCCTAAACGTGGTTGTGCCCCTCCCCTGCTGGGGTCCCAGCCTCGCTCCTCCTCTCAGCTTACTCTGGGCCCCTGCCCTGACGCTCTGCCGCCCACGGGTCTCCCTCCTTGTGCAGGCGAGCTCAGCAGCGGAGGGCCCCGGGGCTAGGACCCCTGAGAGACAGGACCGTCCCAGCCAGGGCTTTCTTCGTCCATTATTCAGAGAACCCCGCAGCCCTCCTGAGCCCGGCCACAGCCAGGGGCACTGCGGCAGGAGCCATGCCAGCAGGGGCACGGTGACTGCTGCTCCTGGTCGGCAGGAGGCCTGGCTGAGAGGGCTGGGGGTCGGGGGATCGGGGCATTTCCCCTGGAGAGCTCCTGGGAGTTGGCCAAGGCTGGGGGCCTGCGGGGCCTGTAGGGCCATGGAGCTCAGTCTGCCTGGGGGTCTCCCCAGGAGGCCCAGGAGCAGGCTCAGTGCCCAGGTGACCAGGTGGCCATGCCGCCCTTCCAAGCCCGCCTCTCCGGGTGGCCCTCAGCCCAGCCTGTGTCCATCCAGGCTGAGAGGGACCATCTCCCCACGGCCTGTCTCTGCCCCCGTTTCCCTGTCTCCCCCATCCCTCCTCCCGTCTCCTGCCCCCTCTGCCTTCCCTCACTGGGGCCACTTGTCCCGGCAGTTCTCTCTGCCTCGCACACTCCCTGCCTCTGTCTCACCATGTCTCTGCTGCTGCCCTGTTGTCCCTCCCAGTTCTCCCCTTCCCCCCTCTCTCCGCCCTCCCAGTTCATTCCTGTTGTCTCTCTTTTCCCTCCATTTTCTCCCTCTCTTGCCCTCTTTAAACTGCAAGGTCTGACCCAAGAGGGCCTCTTTCTGTCTCCCCTTACTCTCCTCTCTGCTGCCTCCTTGCTTGGTCTCCCTAATTCTCTGTGGCCCAGAGGGGTCAATGCTGTCCCCAAGGCGACACAGAGCATGTAGCGGGGGCCACGAGGGCTGGGGGGGAGCCCTAGAAATGCTGGTGGGAGAGGCCGTGGGGCAGGGCCACCCCTCCTCCCCCCAAGATCCACCTGCCACGGGTCTCAGGGTGACCGCGTGTTAGGACTCTGCTTCTGCCCTCGCGGCCAGGCCCAGGGCCCAGGGACTCCCCACACGTGGGTCTGCCCTCCGGGGACTCCCTCTGCCTCCCAAGTCTCTCTCCCTCTGGCCCTGGTGTTTACTCCCTCCTCCACCCTGACCTAGACCGTGGGGGCTGAGAGGGCCCACGGAGGCCACCCCTCACTTCACAGGTGAGGAAGCCCATGGAGAATGGGGTGCCAGGCGAGGGGGCAGTGCAGGTGGCATGGCAGATTCATGCCTGAGGACGCCCCCCCACCCCCTGCTGGGGAGGGAACGATGGGGACATACCCCCGTGAAGGCAGGTCCTGATCTGTCCTCACGCTGATGGCACACAGCAGGCGCTCAAAGCTGTTTGTTCAATACCTCAGTGGGCAGGAGAGAGGAGCAGGGAGACAAGGATGGTCTGCACAGCACCTCGTGCACCGCGGGGCCCTGCCAATACAGTGAGCTGCTCACCCCATCCAGCCCGGTTTCCAGATGAGACAGGACAGTTACGGGGCCGGGCAGGCACCAGAGTGGGGAACCGAGGCCCCTGGCGCCTGGCTGTCCCTTCTGCAGCCCATGCTGACGACTCTTACAGGCGCATGTGATGTTGTTATACCTGCCAGGTAAGTGCGATCACCCACCGCACAGAGGGAAGAACTGAGGCCCAGGGAGGTGACTCGCCCGAAGCCACCAGAGTCAGGGCGGAGCTGGAATCCAGGGCAGCGGGGGTGCCAGTGCCCGCCTCGCCCCGCTGGTCTGTGTCACAGGACCAAGGCTGGCCTAGGAGTTCTGGCTCGTGCCCCTCCCCCTCCGTCCAGAGGGGACGTTATGCTTTCACAAGTCCCAGTGTATAAACTCGCCTGGACCCCAGCCCTGCCAGGGGTTTACAGGTTCTCAGTGGTCCTGTCTCTGGGAGGAAATGCAAGTGGAACATGAACCGGGAAGGAATTGCCGGCCCTGTCAGCCCTGCGGCTGCAGAGCCCAGCTCCTCCATTTATTCTCCAAGCGGGGGGCACAGCACGGCCCTGCAGGAGGGCCAGCGAGAGGCCCGCAGGGACAGGGCCGCCAGGCCACCCTGAGCCGGCTTTGCACCAAGGAGATGTGCTCTGTCTGTTATCTGTTCAGGGGGTGGCTGGCTGAACGCCCGCAGGGCCAGGGAGCGTGGGGCCTGGTATTGGACTTGGGTCCTTGGGCGATTTCCAGGGCAGAACAGGGACCTGGAGCAGCCAGCCAGCTTCACTTAACTTGGAGGGGGAGCGGGTGGGGGTGCCGAGGGATGGGAAGAGGCCTCGCCTGGCCATGAAAACGCTGAACCTGGAGGATGGGTCCGTTGTACTCTCCTTGGGTTTGTTATGCTGGTCTCTGTACTTTTGTGTTTGTTTGAAACATGAACTGACGCACTCCCAGTGTGGCCAGGCTGGGGCTGTCTCGCTGGCCTGGAGCCGGGATGGGCACGGAGCTCAGCCCAGCAGGTCTGAGGCCCGGGTTCACCTTTGCGGTGACTGCCTGGTCACAGCGGGGACCGTGTTGGTGGCCCTGGGTCCTCAGTGCCCAGCACAGGGCCTGGCACGCTACTGGGGCTTAATAAAGGCTTCTATGTGGGGTCAGTTTGCCAGGACAGGGCGAGGGAGCTGCGGGAGCTGGGGGTGTGCCAGGAGCTGCGGGAGCTGGGGGTGTGCCGGGAGCTGGGGGTGCTGGGGGTGTGCCCAGAGCTCAGGTGCTCAGCAAAGCCGTGGCTTTACCGTAAGAAATGGAGAGTCTGTGGCTGCCTCTGTCCTTCCGGGACAGAGTCCGTGCAGGCTGAGCGACTGTCGGCTGCAGCACCAAGTGGCTAATCTGTTATTTCTCCCAC